CTCAGGGTGCAAGGAAGAAAGTCCCTTTCTCTGAGACTCCTTCCTTCTGCAGGGTGCAGTCTGGGGCCCTGAGTCCCTGTAGTTCTGTCTGAAGGTTGCTTGGCCTCTTGGGGACATGCTGCTGTGGCCACTACAGCCCCTGCAGAGATCTGCCGCAGCCGGAGGATGCCTGACCTTTGTGCTCCCTGCTGAGGTTAGATCACCTAAGTTAGCAGAGTTGGTGTTTATCAAGAATGCTGAGGCTCTCGGGCAGCTAGCTGGGTTTATGACATGTCTTTCAGCCAGTAGGAAGAATGGGATGGTGGCTCTTTTTTTTTTAACTGACATAAATCTACATACCATAAATTTCACCATCTTAAAGAATACAGCTGGGCGCAGTGGCTCATGCCTGTAATCCCAACACTTTAGGAGGCCAAGGCGGAGAGATCACGAGGTCAGGAGATCGAGACCATTCTGGCTAACACAGTGAAACCCTGTCTCTACTAAAAAATACAAAAAAATTAGCTGGGTGTGGTGGCACGCACCTGCAGTCCCAGCTCATAGGGAGGCTGAGGCAGGAGACACTTGAACCCAGGAGGCTGAGGTTGCTGATCGCACCTGAGCGACAGGGCAAGACTCTCTCAACAATAACAAAGTATACAACTCCACAGGTTTTAGTATATTCACAAAGTTGCACAACCATCACCACTAATTCCAGAACATTTTCATTTTTTTTTTTTTTGAGACAGAGTCTTGTTCTGTAACCCAAGCTGGAGTGCAGTGGCACCATCTCAGCTCACTGCAACATCTGCCTTCCAGGTTCAAGTGATTCTCCTGCCTCAGCCCCCAAGGTAGCTGGGACTACAGGCATGTCCTACCTTGCCAGGCTAGTTTTTGTGAATTTAGTAGAGATGGGTTTCACCATGTTAGCCAGGCTGGTCTCAAACTCCTGACCTCAAGTGGTCCACTCACCTCTGCCTCTGGAAGTGCTGGGATTATAGGCGTAAGCCACCATGCCCAGTCAGAACATTTTCATCCATTAATTAATTTATTTTTAAAATTTTTAATTAGTTAATTAATTAATTAGTTGAGCTTGTTTCAAATTCAGTGGCCTTGATTCCGCAAGCCACAGCAGTTAAAAACAAGGATATCAGTAAATTTTTGGATGGTATCTATGTCTCTGAAAAAGGAACTGTTCAACAACAAGATGCCAGATGACTCTAAGACCTACTTTGTACCCCTTCCCCGCCCTCCCCCAGGCCTGGGCTTCTGGTCCTTCCTACTCCCTGCAGCAGGAGTGGTGATTTTCCCACTGAAGTGATATCTAAATGATGCGATAAAATACTTATTGATTTGGAACATTTCCTTAAAAAACAAAAAAATTTAACTAATTAGTTAATTTTTAAAGACAAAGTCTCTGTTGTCCAGGCTGAAGTGCAGTGGTGTGATCTTGGCTCATTGCAGCCTCAAACGCCTGCCTCAAACGATCCTCCTGCCTCAGCCTCCTGAGTAGCTGGGACTACAGGTGTACACCACCATGTCTGGCTAATCTTTAATTTTTTTGTAGAGATCGGGTCTTACTCTTTGCCCAGGCTGGTCTCAAACTCATCCTCCTTTTTAAATTCTCACTTCTCAACAAGATGGCGCCATGGGCTCGCTGGAGATGCATGCTCCTTGGGTTCCTTGCCGGGCTTTCCCATTGGCTTGGATTGGGATGTTTCTTTCCCAAGCACTTTATTGAGTTCATTTTTCTCATCCAAGGTAAAAAGGTACTCTCAGAGGGGGAGGTTGGTAGGGCACAGTGGCTCACATCTGTAATCCCAGCACTTTGAGAGTCCAAGGCGGGTGGATCACTTGTGGTCAGGAGTTCAGGACCAGCCTGGCCAATGTGGTGAAACCTCATCTCTAGTAAAAACACAGAAATTAGCTGGGCATGGTGGCAGGTGCCTGTAGTCCCAGCTACTCAGGAGGCTGAGGCAGGAGAATCACTTGAACCCAGGAGGTGGAGGTTGCAGCGAGTCGACGAAATTGTGCCAACCAACGTACTCCAGCCTGGGCAACAGAGTGAGACTCTGTCTCGGGAAAAAAAAAAATGGTGGGGACAGGCTGAGCAGGCAGTCACCACCATGTCTGGGCCTCTGGGCCTCTGGGCCTCTGTGGTTAAATGCAGGACTCAAGAAAGGCTTCCTGAGGGACCACTGTGCACCGTGTCTGGGGAGGTGGGTGTGCTGCGACAGGAGTGGTTAATTGAGGCTTGTCCATGCTACCTCTGTGCTTCCCTTTCTCCAAAGCCCTCTTTGCTGTGGCCTGTAGGTTAAAGGTGTAAGCTCAGATGTGGAAATCTTGATGCTGGATGGATTTTAGTTGAGATATAGGTGGGTTTGGTGTCCTCATGCCTGGCAGGGCTGGGAAGAAGTGAGACAGAGTTTAGCAGACAGCGAGGCCTTTATAAAACAGTCTTTGTCAACACAAAAATGTTTAAAGAAAAAAAAATGAGGCCTAGACTTGGTGTGGCCTCTCTGGATGGGAAAGTGGGTAAGAATCAGGTTATTTCAATTCTCTAGTTGGCAGAGTCTGGTGTCTCTAAAGCGGATTCATCCTACTGTTAGCTGTCCAGGTCCAGGTGTTTTGGTGGCTGTGAAAGGAAGCAAGAAGAAAAGAGCCCACAAGGGTGGGGACCTCCACGGGGAATGCTCTGGGGAAGGGAGAACCCGTGTCCCCTCAATGCCTGGAACACTACAGCTGCTTCATAGAGACTTTTTAGAAGAGCGACTTCTGTGTGCAGTCACTCTGTCTTGCGCAATCCTTATCATCACCCTGAGGGTAGGGAGGTGTCCATTCATTTCATTTCATTCATTCATTCATTCCACAGTACTAATTGCCTGCATACCAGGAGCCTGATGCTGTCGGTATATGTGAGGACACCCTCAGAGTGGGGAAGCAATTTGCGAAGTTCAGGCAGGATGGCAGGTGTGTAAGGGGTGAGGGCTTGGGGAACCCACGGGCACCACCTTGGGTCGTGGGTCCACTACCACTCTCCTCCCTGCGTTGGTGGCCAACCCAGTCTTACCTTTCAGGCCCTAATTTCCTCACTGTAAATGGAGCCGACCTAGAACTTATCTCAAAGGGCTGTTTGAAGATTGGATGCAGGGGGAGTTTGGGGAGATGCTGGCACATTGTCCAAGGCCTTGTAGTGAGTCAGGGTTGGAACCCACTTTTGTCTGATCACAAAAACAGACCTCGGCCAGGCGTGGTGGCTCACGCCTGTAATCCCAGCACTTTGGGAGACTGAGGCGGGTGGATTACCTGAGGTCAGGAGCTGGAGACCAACTTGGCCAACATGGTGAAACCCTGGCTCTACAAAAATACAAAAATTAGCTGGGCATGGTGGTGGGTGCCTGTAATCCCAGCTACTTGGGAGGCTGAGGCTGGAGAATCACTTGAACCTGGGAGGTGGAGGTTGCTGTGAGCCGAGATCGTGCCATTGCACTCCGGCCTGGGTGCCAACAGCGAAACTCCGTGTAAAAAAACCAGACTTCTCCCTTGCCATGGGCTGCCTCTAGGACCCATCTGCCTCCTTTTATCCCTCTGAGTCTTTGAGGATCTGAGAAGCGGTTCGCCTACCTGCCTGGCGGTGACAGGCACCGTGGGCTGAGAGTGGCTGTGGAAATGCGCCCCAGCAACAGGTGTAGGAAAAGTAGGCCTGACCTGCGGCCATCCACCTGCGCCTGGGCGTTCTCGCCTGAGGCTGGCTCACTGCTTCTCTAGGACTGTTCTAGAATCCTGCAGGAGTTTGGAAAACATGAGCTCAGCACAGACACCTCTGAGAATGAGCTCACCATCCACCCCCGACCCCACCGTGAGAATGGGGGCAGGTCACCCCTGGCCTCCTCTCAGGCCTCCGAGGGTGCCCAAATGTGATTACGCACCAGGGTAGCATTAGCTTCCCTGTCCTCCTCCTGAAGAGTCGCTTTCTCCCAGTGCAGGAGGAATGAGTCTCCCGTTCTCACCCCAGGGAGGAGAATCCGCCCTTTGGTTTTGCGCAGGTGGAGATCTAGGCGGCGAGGTTCGGAGTTCTGCAAACCATGAGTGTGCGAGAAGGGCTAGTTTCAGATAAAACCGTTTCTGTCCCGTAACAACCCCGAGGGCAGAAACCCTTCCAAAAGGAGGCACAGAGAGACTTTCTGTCCTCTTGATACCGGGACGCAGTGGTCCCGGGGCAGCTTCTCCTGGGAGGGTCGCGGGGCGCACTGGCTGGGATCTATAGTGGTTGGGACAGGAGGGTGGGTGGGGAGCCCCGTCTGCATAGTGGCGGGAGGTCTTCGGCTCTGCCCCTGCCCGCGCCCTCCTACTCACCCCAAGGGCTCCCCACCGCGCGCGCAGGGCAGCGTGGAAACGGTGGGAAATGCAGGGCGCGCGCCTCGGGGGCTGCCCCAGCTCCCCCCTGCAGCTTGGTGCTCAGGACCCGCGTCCGACTTTGCCTCTCCCGGAATCTTTAAGGCCGGTGCGGGGAGCTGAGCCCCGGCCCCTGGGCTGAGCCAAGCCCTGCCCGGCACAAGGTCCCCACCGTGGCGCACCCGGCTCCCGAGCGCCGCGCGCCCACAGCGTCCCTTCCTACACCAGCCACCTGGGACCCGAGAGCCGTGCAGGGCCGGGCCTCGGGCCCCGAGGCACCCGGAGCCAGGTCAGCCCCGCAGCCCGCGGCGCCGGAACTTGGGGGCGCGGTGAGTGGGGGCGGGGCGCCGGGCCGGCGAGAGGTGGCTGTGGCCGGGTGCCGGTTCCTGGCTTTAGAAGTCCTTTCGCGTCTTCTAGAATCCGGGGCTGCATTGGCCCTCCGAGCTCTCCGGACTGCCAATGTCGCAGAGACAGCAGGTCCAGACCCGGGACATCCCCTACACCCGAGTCCAGGATCTGGGTTTCTTCCCTTTTCCAGGGGAGAGGCCCTCCCACTGGGCGTCGCGGCGAGCCCCCAGTGGTTTCTGTTTGCTTTTTTACAGTACCCCCCACCCTGCCCTGGCCCGGCCCCACTCGGGCCTTGGTCCCACCGCGAAGGGGCGAGGAATCCCCGGAAGAGTCGCGATGACTGGGGAGTCCGGGACCTCGGCTCCGGGTAGGCGCGCCCCGGGACCAGGCGGCGGCGTGGGCGAGGGGCGCTGCGCAAACTCCGCGCTCTCGCTGGGGAAACGCCAGCCCAGGCGGGCGGCAGTGGAGCGGATATAGGGGGGACCCCGTGCCCGGTGGGACTGGCCCCGCGGTGGTCCCCACGCCGCACCCCTACGGGCGCCCCGCATCTACGCCCTAGGCCGCGGCCGGCGCTCCGACCCCTCCCCCGCACCGACGTGACCCGGATCGCGCGGTGCTGGCGCCGCCCTCGTGCGCCCCGCCTGGCCCCCACTTGGTCCCCTTTCCTTTTCAGGTGGAGAAGCTGCCGCCACCCCGTTGGTCTTGGGCGAGCCTAGCTCCCAGGATCCCGGGCTGGAGAGACGCGTCGCGGCCCTGGGCCCGGTGGCACGGGCAGGAAGGAGGACCCGGCGGCGGGCTCTGCCTGGGCTTGCCTGGGCTTGTTCCGAGCCGGCTGCTTCCCGGTGACCGAGCAGATCGGGGGCTTTTGGAGATTTTGCGGGAGTCCTGCAGCCAAGCCCCGGGGCAGCAGAGGCCTGGAAGCCTGCACTACCTGCTCGCTCCGCCCCAGCGGGCACCCAGGTAAACGCTTGTGTTTCTCAGTCTGTGCGAAAGTTTGAAAAGAAGGAGGCGGGAACTAGACCAACAACTTGAATAATCATAGTCATCATAATGAAAACCCTGTTCAATTGTGTATCCTGTGTCAAAAGGGAAGGACTTCCCAAGAAGCAACAAAATGCTCTTTGATTTCATCGTATCTGGGAAGAAAGGATTCCTTTTTGGGGGGTTTTGCCTGGCTAGTTCTTTCTTCCCTCCTCGTTCTCCAGCCTGGTGCGAGGAAGTCCGATGGGTCCATGGGTGGAAAATGGCTCACGCCTGTAATGCCAGCACTTTGGGAAGCTGAGGCGGGTGGATCATGAGGTCAGGAGATCGAGACCTGGCCAGCGTGGTGAAACCCCGTCTCTACTAAAAATACAAAAATTAGCTGGGTGTGGTGACACGTGCCTGTAGTTCCCAGTTACTCGGGAGGTTGAGGCAGGAGAATCCCTTGAACCTGGGAGCCGGAGGTTGCAGTGAGCCGAAGGTTGCAGTGAGCCGAGATTGCGCCATTGCACTCCAGCCTGGGTAACAAGAGCGAAACTGCGTCTCAAAAAAAAAAAAAAAAAAAATCTCGCAAGAATGGGAAAGGAAAAATACTTCGGTCGCTAAAGTAGCGTTGTCTAAGAGGTTGAGGCTTTGGTGGACTTTTGCTCTAGAAGAGGGGAACGGGAGGGGCTTTCAGCCAACCTGGCCGCGAGGTGAACGCGCGCGCGCCCTCTGCTGCCCAAAGCTCTGTCCAGCCTGGGAGCCGCCGGTGGGGAAGGAGACTGTGGGGGAGGTGGTCCCTGGAGTTCGCTGCTCCTCTCCTGGAGCAGCGGGTGCCAGCTCTGCCGAGGCTCCCTCTCCCAGGTTACGTGGATGAGGCCTGTGGCACCGACAGGGCACATACTTAAGCGCCTCCCTGTTTCTGTCAGGTGGGGTACAGGAGCTAGGCTCTGCAGAAGGTTCCAGAGCCTGGGCTTTCCTGCAGCATCCACGCTAGGCTCCTGGAGCCCAGGCATGGCAGGGCTGCTCTCTGCATATATACATACATGCATGTGAAACTCTAGCAGATGCCAAGTCACGTTAGGGGGGCAAAATGGCCCACTGCAGTTATGTAAGCCAGTTCTGCCTCTGCCCAGTTCTGAGAGATCTTTGGGACAAATGGCCATTCCCTTGAGTCCCTGTGTCTTCCTGCATGAGCCACAAATGCTGTGTAGTCATGGCTGAGGAAGACAGGAGGTGCCTGGACTTGCTGACATTCCCCTTGAAGGACTATCCAGGAGCAGAGGGAGCATCTGGGGGCAGCATCAGTTGGTACCCTGGGCCCACTGGCATCTACTGCCACATGGGTTAGTGGCCAGTCTCCAAAGATTCCTCAGCCTGGCCAAGACTGGCCAGGACTGCCCTGCTGTCCCCTCCCAATCCAGCTTTCTCTTGGGCCTCCAGGATCCCTTGGCTAACTGGTGAGGAGGCTGTGAGGTCTGTGCTTTTACATGCCACGCCTGCCCTTGGCACAAATCGCAAATCAATAATGCTAGACAGGCCGCTAGGTCTTTCTCTCCATAGCATCCACGCAGTGCTTCCCATTGATTGTGCCACCCAATTGCCACACCAGCCCTGCACCTGCCCTTGTAACTGGCCCCTGGGCTGGGGGTATAGGAGGGTGCCAGGATGAACAAGATGCTGCCCCTGGTGATAGGACGTACTACCTCCAGCTAGAGGTGATCAGATCTATGCATAAGAAAATAACTAGGCAGGGCCAGGTGTAGTGTCTCATTCCTGTAATCCCAGCACTTTGGGAGGCTGAGGCAGGAGGATCACCTGAGGTTAGGAGTTGAAGACCAGCTTAACCAACATGGAGAAACCCCATCTCTACTAAAATTAGCTGGGCATGGTGGTGCATTCTTGTAATCCCAGCTACTCAGGAAGCTGAGGCAGGAGAATTGCTTGAACCCAGGAGGCAGAGGTTGCCGTGAGCCGAGATTGCACCATTGCACTCCAGCCTGGGCAACAAGAGCAAAACTCTGTCTCCAAAAATAAATAAATAAATAAATAAGTAACTAGGCAGGACTCATTCATTCATGCAAATATTTACAGAGTCCTTGCTATAAGCAGTGAGTCACGGACGAGAAACCTATGGAAAGATGAGGTGGAGGGCTTTTCAGGCGGAAGGGTTAGTAAGTGCAAAGGCCCTGTGTTTGGTGCATTGGAGAAAATGCAAGAAAGCCGGTGAGACTGAGGATGAACTCGTGACAGTTGGCAATGAGTATCACAAAAACGAGGAAGTTTTCTTGTCTAGCCCTGAAGTTTGCCTTGGTTGGCAGATCCTTCCTTCCCAGAGAGCACAAATCAGTACTGCTGCTTCGGCTGTCTGTCTGACGTATTCATAAGAATGAACTGTTTTTTTTTTTTTTTTTTTTTGAGATAGAGTCTTGCTCTGTCGCCAGGCGCCAGGCTGGAATGCAGTGGCGCGATCTCGGCTCACTGCAACCTCTGCCTCCCAGGTTCAAGCAGTTCTCCTGCCTCAGCCTCCCGAGTAGCTGGGACTACAGGTGCCACCATGCCCAGCTAATTTTTGTATTTTTTTTTAGTAGAGACAGGGTTTCACCATGTTGGCCAGGATGGTCTCTATCTCTTGACCTCGTGATCCATCCGCCTCGGCCTCCCAAAGTGCTGGGATTACAGGCGTGAGCCACCGCGCCCAGCCTAGAATGAACTGTTTAGTGCAGGCTCTGGGAGGCAGTGCCACACAGGTCGTTGACATACCTGGTGCGGATCTTTTTTCTCCATTCACCCTGGGGCCCCAATATTTCAGTAAGGATGTGGATTTAGAGTTAAGGACACGCCTTCCAGCTCCATCTCTGTCATTAGCTGCGCTAATTTGGAAATAGGACTTCCTTTCCTGGCTTTGGTTCCTCATCTATAAAAATTGCCCTTATGTTAGGACAACTTGGTGGAGGCATGGGATAAAATAATTAGATAATGTACACAAACCACAGAGCAGGGTGCTGTGGCAGCTATTAGGTAGCATCAGTGATAAAGCGCTTTGCTTTCATGGATATTTTATATGTTCACTAAATCAGAACCTTCCTCTATGCTAATGTAGTCTAGTGAGGTCTGGGGAGTTTCTCGTTTGATTTTTGCATTGCAAATAAATATTTTTCTCTTCCCCTTCCTAAAAAAATCATTGTTTTTTTTTTTTTTTTTTTTTTTTTTTAATGAGACAGGGTCTCACTCTGTCACCCAGGCTGGAGTGCCCTGGCACAGTCGTAGCTCACTGTAACCTGGAACTCCTGAGCTCAAGTGATCCTCCTGCCTCCACAACCTGAGTAGCTATCGCTAAAGGCATGTGCCATCATGCCCAGCTAATTTTTAAATTTTCTGTAGAGACGGGATCTTCTCATGTTTCCCAGGTTGGACTCAACATTGTGGGCTCAAGCGATCCTCCTGCCCCAGCCTCCCAAAGTGTTGGGATTACAAGTGTGAGCCACCATGCCCAGCCTACTTTTTTTTTTTCATTAACTAGTATTGCAAATATTTAAATGGAGTAAAATGCCTTGAGTTGATGCCAAAAAGAAAAGGAAGGGTCTAGAGTGGGATCCATTTG